GTGTATGTGGGTGGGCGGGAGTCCACACTTTTCACCACTCTGTAACATGCATGATAGTTCCAATAGCGTGTGTGTGTGCGTGGGGAGGGGGGGGGTCATTACAGTCATTACACAGTTTTCCACACTCCCAGTAATATTTTCTTCCTTTAAGCTTCTTGGGTTTAGTTTAGCTTCATACGTTTAGTTTAAGACTTAAAGTCAAAAAGATGCAGTGGCTCATTTCCTTTTTTTTATTGAATATGAAAAGATGAGATAAATAACCATGAAAAAAAATCAAAATGGATAAATATTTTGGAATAGCTCTTCAGTGATATTTGGCAAACGTTTGTATGCTAGAATAATCCTAAGACATTCCATGAGGTTAGTTGAACTGGTGACAGGTGATATTGAACATATTGATTTTAGCTGCAGATTCTGTGATATGTCAAGATGCCTACATATGTGATGGTACATACTTTATGCTGTGGGATGGAGTGCAGGTATGGCAGAATTAGAAATTGACTGAAAATATCATCTCTTCCCTCTTCACATTCCTTTTATTATTGATATTTTATAATCAAGTTAGCTTCTTTTATTTTGTATCTCTGGTATGTTTTGGTCAGGATCTTACAGATTTTTTGTTACATGTCATCTTATGTTTGGGGTTTTCTGTTTCAGATTCAAGGAGAATCCATCCCTACAGGTGTCGCCACAGAGCCAGTCTACCTCAATGTGACCTATGGCAACCCTTCCCAGCTGTCCCAGGGGTTCCCTAAGAACTGCACCCTTGGTGAACTAAAGCTGATGTTGGGTGAACTCACCCCCATCGACCCAGAAAACCTGAAACTTTGCCAGCTGGTCACAAAAGGTTGGTGATTCATATTGTATGAAAAAAATTGTGAATTTTGCAAACATCTTGTAACTGAAAAAAAAATTAGCTAATGTTTTTTAGGGATAACAATTTTCTTTTGTTTATCATTGCAAGCATTTTTTGTAAAGATTATTGTTTTCAAAGTCATCATGAGCCTTAGGTTATTTAACAGCTTTGGTGACAGGGAATTTGGTGTCACATGAAGTTACCTCTGGTTTTCAGTTTCCCTTTAGAGTTTAGCTTTAACAGAGGTACAACTTAAGTTATGAAAACAAAAAGTGGGAAATTTGATCAAAAAATGAAATATTGACCTAAAAAAGCCATATGAGGGTTGTAAATGATTACCATATTCTTTTACTTTTCACTAGATGATACCACATCAGCAGTTCCATTTAGTCCCATAGATGAAGGAAAGACACTGGAAGAGCTGAGACTTAAGGACGGTGACAACCTTATAGCTGAAGACACCAAAGAAACTAGGTAACCTGTAGCCAGACTGTGTCATTATTTGTTATAAAATGTAAATCAATTCAAAGCTTTCTTTCTAATTTGGCACTAAGTCTTGTTTCATGGGAATAATTAAAAGATTTTTCTAGTCAGTGAATTAATGAGACCTGATTTGCCAGATGCAATCTTGGGAGAAAAAGGAAAAAGAAGAAACAAAATATGAAATGTAGATAAGCAGCAGTTCCCCAAGGTACAGCCGTCACTAATTAATACCTTCCATACTCCAATCTCAGCCCATTAAAGAAAATTACTTCTGTTTCAGTAGCAGCGTTGCTAAGGACTCCTTATTGAAGAAGTCTAACAAGCTTATTCTTGAAGTAGAGAACAGATGCCAGGTACTGATGTCAAAAAAAAAAAAAAAACACTTAAGACCTTTTAGCAAATAAGATACTTGTCATATTTATCAGTTCTCTATGCATGCAGCTGATATCTACCTCAAGAAGCTGTCAATTATATCTGAGGTCTAGGTCAGACCTGATTGAGACTTCAGTGCGGACTTTGAAGTGATTAGAATAAAAAATAGAAGAATACTTGAGGCTTTGCTAAAGTGAACACTAAAATGATTATTTTATACATAAAAGGCACTAGGGGGTCTTAGTGGAGGTCCAAACTCTCCTAGACAGTTCTCCATACTCTGATATCTGATAATGTTATCGATGCTTTTCCTATAAAAAATTTATATTTTTTCAAAGTTAAGCTATTAGACCAGAGAACAGGCATTATTGTTTAGATGATAACAATAAATAAACATATTATAATTAATGCTTATACAATGCATTCTGTTGAATATCAAAATTGATTAAATCTGATACAATGTTGAAAAATAGAAGCAATACAATGTCTTGATTTTTGAGCTTTTAAATACCTGAACAAAAACACTTACTACATAATTCAATACACAGTTCAAAGCATTAAGCATTTTTTTCTTGTTAAGTGAGACATTAACAAAGTTAAATAAAGGGCCTAATGTTTCACCTCTCTTATAGTGAGAACGTTTTCCTAAAATGACCTAGATTGAACTTGAATGTAGCATGATCTCAATGACAAGTTTTAAAATAATTCACATATTTCATTTTCTTAAAGGATTACTCTGCAATGGATGCTTACCCTGTGACCACTGTTGAAATAGACAGAGAAACAGTGAGTATTATGCTGTCCTTTTTTGTACTGATTTTGATATCTTTACCCAAGGTACAAATTAAACTGTTTACAATAAATTTAACCAACAGTACATGGTAGAATAATGTCAGTTGAAATGTAAGTATATATATATAAAGATGAAATCATACTTTTATCATCATTTTCAGAGAGTGTCAGATCTGAAGGCAGTGATAATCTCAGCGTTCACAATCAGCTCTGTACCTGGTGGGGGAAGACTAAGGGTGGAGGATTCAAACTTGGGGCTCAGGCCTCCCTGTAAGTTTGATTTAATTGTCCTTGAAGGACACCAGATCTTCTGGTCCAAGTAGAGATGAATGTGTTCTGGGACTATACATGAAGGCGAATATTTGGGTGTTGTATATATATATCCTGTGCATGTAACAGTTACTGTATGTGTTTGTTATCTTTCAGTACATGAAGAACAGGATGTGGTCACAGCTGGGTTGAAAAGTGGTCAACATGTGGTCATACAGCCAGGCAGTCCACCTCTAACTGACCAGGTCATTATCACAAGCCAGGGCATGGTTTATGATAACATGATAATATAGTGTTGTTTGAAAGCTACATTGATATAACAGTGTTTTTTTGTTTTGTTTTTTTTAAGGTTACGGTTTTCAATAATATAAGAGATTCTTTTAATATAGTTGTATTTGATATGGCTGTTTCATGATAATCTGTGACAGGAATCAGAATTCTCCTTCAGTGTAAAAACCATGTAAAACTGTGCGTTTGACCTTCAGATGACCTTGACCTTCACCCCAGGAAGCCCTTCAGATGACCTTCAAGACTTAGAAATTATGGTGAAAAAATCTTGCACAGTCCAGCAGTGCATGGAAGAGATGGTACAAAAAGCAGGGTTTTCTGGTAGGTTGGAGTAGCAATGCAACATAACACCTGCAGTATGTGGATTCTGAAATAATTAATTGCTTGATAGATGCAAAAAGGTTTTTTTTTCAGTTAGATTAAAAGCATTGAGTTTTCTGTGCAAATGTTTTAGTACTCTTTATTGAACCAGATTACACTAGTGCAGTTGAAAGGCTATTACAAAGCCTGCTTGGAAAATGCATAAAAGCAAGGAAAAATCATAATTCCAATTCAACTCAATCATTGTTGTGTCAGTAAATAGTATCTTTAATCAGAGAGCTGCGTCTAAGCATACTTTATCAATCATTAATGAAGGATGTTGTATAGTCTAAAGGATCAATTTCATTGCTTGCCAGGTTTTTCAAATTACTTAACCTAATAAGTGATCTGTTATGATTGTTTAGATGTATTTTCCCAGTGGATTATTCATCAGTTCTTCCAAAGTCAGGTGTGTATCTCTTCAGGTGATAATTGGCATTTACGCAAGACTAATTGGTGCGGGGAGGCCGGGGAGATACTGGACGATGTGGCATCCAGTCTGGAACAGTGCGATATAAAAGATGGCGACCATCTTTTGTTGGAGGAGGGAAGGGTGCCTCCAAAAGTAAGTTATTCATATTTATAATTTTATTGAAGAGGTCAAAGTTGGGTTCATAAGATGAGGCAAATGGAGTTAAGTGTAATAAAGTAATGACTTAAGGGTTCATATTACAGAATCTACAAAAGAAAAGTAACGAAAAGTTAATGTTGTACGTTTGCCGTACACAAGATCTTTAATTGTCATTAGGTTGAGTTAGGTTAGAAAAAATGATTGGTTTATTGCTGAAAAAAGCAACAAATAATATTCCCTTACATTGAAATATTCACCTGTGACAGACAACCTGGATGTCCCTTTGACAATCAAATTATTAGCTTAGGTAACTTTGTCAAGGGCCATACTTCTTAGATAGATCATATGGACATATGTTAACCTTACTTTTATATTTAATTTCAGGGTTATCTCCAGCTTCCAGTGTATTTTCTTAAAACAAACAAAGATAGGAATGAGGGTATGCTCTCATGGATAGCCACTGGTATATCAGGTGAGGCAAAACTGAAATAAAGCACTCCTGGGGTGTGAATATATCCAAAATTGTGAGATTTTTCATGAAATATTTTTACCATTATTTATTGACTCAAAAGAAAATCTAATAGCATGGTTGTAGCTAGATCAGTGTTTCCACTCTGCAAGTATTATTTATGGGCGGCCAAAAGGGCAAAAATTCATGTCGTCGATTCAGTTATGTTTCGTCGATTCACTGCCTTCCCATCGATTCAGTTTCAAGTTTAAACGATCCTGTCATAAATTCAACATCTACTTTCGTCAATTCAATTGTCAAACATTTCTCATCTATGGTGTATTAAAACCAATGCTGTCACTATTTTCGTCGATCGTGTAACTAATCTCGTCGATCGTCAAACTGTTTTTCGTCGATCGTGTAACTATTCTCGTCGATCGTCTAATCTCGTCGATCGTGTAACTAT